GCCGTCGAATTGCGAAAGGGACTGTACGGACAGAAGGTTAGCAATCGGTCGGTACCATAGAATAAGAGTGTAAGAACGGTCAATGAGTTGTTGGTCCAATCTGTAAAAACCGCCTTCTCAAAAACGATTGGCTTCCTAGAATCGGTTCAGCAATCAGCAGAGAAAATCCGCTGAAACGAGGGTCGATGAATTTACACCATATATGCGACAGGCGACGTGCTACGGTCAATTAAGCTTTACAATTACTGGGTTTATAACTTTTGTTGGTCACCACACTAGATAATAAGCTATCAGGCCTGCACTCGCATCTTCATGGCCGTAGCTGTCGCTTATTCTGGATTTTGACTGCCGCATTTGGAACGCTACGATTTCCATGTTCCTCCGAAGGCAACGCTTACTACCTGTTTCTCGGCTGGACGCACGGAAGAATGCGGAACGAATTACCTCCTTAAAGGAATTCGCGGGTACGATCGTTATTTTAAAGATTCCAACCAGAAACTTTCGCAATTCAAAAATTCCCTTAACTCACCCTATTACCGTGCCGCGACCCTTAGTGTGATTTACAACTCATTTGCTATTTTATCTTTTTATGTAATCACAACACTGAACTGGCGTTCATGTAGTTCCAGGGCCATTCAACGTCATCTAGCGCCACCGTGCTATTGGTCGGTCGGCAATGGTAGCAATAAGGAAAAAAAGACCGTAACTTCAGAGTAGCCACGTGCTCGTACCACTGCTATATCAACAGTCGATTTAAGACCTTCAGGGAAAGCCGAAATGAACGTCATTTTAGCAAGATGCTTCAGGCCTGATAGAAGGTTGCATCATTCACCCACCATATGACCTCTCGTGGTGAAATCATGATGTCAGCTTTGCCGGCGGGTCGGTGATCGATATTTTATATTGCAACGGGCTGAGACAGTAGTAAAGTGAAAGTTAAAACAAGTATCGCGCCAAGCGGTTGGTCGGTCGCCGCCAGATAAGCATCGCATCTATGCAACGCGCCGTCGTCGTGCTGCAACACAGCAAAGCATCACACGAAAATACGTGAGACTAGAAAAAGCGACTTGAAAAGCGCAGTTGTCGATATGCTTTCAAAGGAAACAAGTAAGAAGTGCACGGCAGGCGCCGGGAGCGGTGCCACAAAGTCTCGACACCGGTGACGTGAGTAGACGACCACCGCATCGACTACGGAACATCCGGAGGGATGACGGAAGAGATGATCGGGGGTTAATGATGTACTACAGCAAGAATAAGAAGACCAAGACAAAGGCGAGGGAGGCTACACAACTCAAAGACAAGGATAATGGCACACACATACAAATAGACAGTTCCCTTACACCGTGGCGGTCGAGAGCATCCTGCAGTAAGTCGCCGACATCCCTGTTCAAGCAGTCCTGGACGTTGAATCCTTTTGTCCACCATAGCAGGTTCGCGTTGCGAATGCTTTTCATTTCGCATGGGTAGCTGAAGACGAAACCAAGCGACAGACGCTCGTTCAGCAGCTGGTACTCGGACAAGAACTTGGTGACGCAGCAGACAATGAAGTCGAACAACTAAATAAGTCGTCAGCAATGCTTTGTGCTCTACACACAAAGAAACAGAGTACAAAAGTACAAACTACACACCTGCGAGCCGGTAGCCACCATCAGGTCGTTACAAACGACGAAATTACGAGTATGCACGACGGGAGTCACACCGCGACCATGCAGCTCCAAAAGCATTATACGTAGGTTTTTACCGCTAAGGTCTAGTGCCAAGTATTTACCCGCCTCTATAACAAAAATAAAAACAATAATAACAATGAACATTAACAGCCGCGGCTGCTGTCACGTGTTTGTTGTACACAGTGGAACCATGTTCATACCTGATCCGTCGGGCAAAGCCGGCACGTACGTTGGCAGCATGGCGATCGAGGCCACTGGCCGACCGACATCCAAACCTCGTTGAAATTCGCCCACCATCTTGTCGCGAATCACCTCCAGCTTGTCTTTCGACACGTGCAGCTGCTCCAATATCTCGCGTACACGACTCGGTAAGTCCATATCCCGACCTGTCAATGAATGAATAACAACCCTCTGAGACACCACTATATCACTGGCACTGCGCACACAACGCGACGCGTTCACCCTCAACAAACTACATCATCGCGGCCAATTTCCACTCTGCTTCCATGCTCGTACATTGTATTCGACTAACCGCTGTTCGTTGTCTATGCTTCCATTCCGACTTTTACGCCCGGCTGTCACTCACTCAACCCCAAACACACGTTGCAACGCCAAATACAGTAAACCGATCATCGTAATTGTAGAACGCAGGTTCGTCGAATCAGAATTGTCATTGGTTAATGAAACTCTGCAATAAAGCAGGCGACGGAACACGAGAATCAGTTGTTCACCGTGTGCATCATCCGTCAGCTGACGGTGGTATCGGTAATAGCAGCTCCTTTGTTGTCGTCTAAGCGTTAGTCGATCGCCGGTTCGTGTTTAAAGCCCAAACCAGGCGCACCCGAATTAAATCTGGCTATGGCTACTCGCAAAAAGGTGCTGTTGAAAGTGATCATTCTCGGCGACAGCGGGTACGTTTCGGCCTTCATGTGTTTTTGCACGTTTACTGTTGATATACCGTTCCGCTAACTGATTTTACTCATTTTTCGTTCTTTCATTTGTTACAGGGTCGGTAAAACGTCGCTGATGAATCAGTACGTGAACAAGAAGTTCAGCAGTCAGTACAAAGCCACGATCGGAGCCGATTTTCTCACTAAGGAAGTGATGATCGACGACCGTCTGGTGACGATGCAGGTTTGCTTGTTTTGTGCTGAATTGTGTTTAATTTTTCTGTACGCCCATTTTGGATATAAAGACAGAATCATAGCGTTCAGTTGTACGATTATCCATTTGCTTCACAGGATTAAGGGAAGAATATGTAATGTAAGATATGTAGCACTTCAGTGGTTAAAAATGTTCTTATCCGGAAAACTAATTGGCTTTGTGCTTGAAGCACAAAATATTCATTCAGTTAGATGTGTGCA